GGGACATTCAACAAATAAGTTATGTCCACCATGAGCAGCAAGATGTAAAGGTGAATTTAAATTAATATCAATTATATCTAAATTGGCTTTGCGTTCTTCGACTAACCAATGAACAAGATCTATATAACCTTTTTTACTAGCACAATGAAGTAATGTTTGTCGTTGCACATAATATTCTTCATCAATATGCTGTGCAATATGACTAATATTATTTTTAAACCAATCAAGTTGATCTGCAGCTGCTTGTATAAAAGGTATGTTTTTCAATTCAGTAAACATTTGTTTTATATCAGCAATCTTAGATTCATCTTCGGCTGTACTATTACTACCATTCTTTTTCCGATAATCAGCTCCACTTTCTAATAAACAACGAACTACTTCTGGATGTGCGTAAAAAGCAGCTACATGTAGAGCTGTACTTCTTGTTCTCTGCGGTAGGTCTGGTTCAGCTCCTTGTTCTGTTAAATAATAAACAGCTTCAACGTTACAAGCACGTGCTGCACAATAGAGTGCGGTGTGCCCTGTTTGTGGATCTTGTGAATTTATGTCTCGTAATGTTGCATTTTGTAAACGAATTTTTAATTCGCTTGCAAGTTCAGGTTCAGCAGCTAGTTGTTGTAATGTATATTTTTCTAAAGGTACATCTTGTATCCATTTTCCATCAAGGTGATATTTTTTACGTTTATCATGATCAGATAAGGTTTCATAAGCTCGACAAATAAGTCGAAAGTTTTCAGGTTTAATTTTACGATTTTCAGGGGTTTTAAGTCGATCTTTTTTGTATTCATGAATTATCGTACGATATGCTACACGTAATTGATAATCTGTATCAGTGTTTTTTACTCCAAGTATATCGTATGGTGTTGATGTTGACGCCGCCATAGCTTTCTATTCTTGTTTATAGTCTGTCGTGCAAAAAAGTGCTGCTTATTAAAATGAAACAAAATATTTTTACGAATTCTTTTTATGTATTACTTTATTTGATTTTTTTTTTCTTCTAATACGCCACAGGGATTTTTTCAATCATTATTCACAGTGAATATTTACTATAGGAAAGGTACGAAAGCATGACATGTATTCTTTAAATGGATTCAAAATTTCACAATATGTTGCAATTTTTCTACTGATCATTTTTTTTTTATTCTAGAAACTTTTCTTTCTCATGCAAGGTAGCAGAAGGATAAGAATAAGAATGGTTCTTATTAAAAGAGCTGAAAAATTAATTTTTTTTCGGTTTATCTAGTCATATTTCTGTTAGATTCATTTCCGTTGAGTTTTTATTTAGAGAGTCGAATGATCATGAAGGAAAATTTTCGAAAACCTAGATTTAAATGCATTCTATTATCAATCGGTATATTTTCGCTTGACTTTAAACGCATTTTTGGTTCACCAAGGTCATTTTTGTATTTGCTCATCCATATTTATTATGTTATGATATTTTCTGCATTGTATTGCACATATCTTAGTAACTTCTTGTCTGAAAATTGTAAAGATTTCGGAAAAGATATATCGTAGTCAGCGTTGCAATTATCTACCAAAACTCAACATACAAACTGCTCTTCTATAAAATTACACTCAACTTTTTCCTACACCATGATATACGACTTGAAAAAGTATGGTTGAGACTGATCCAAAGAAAGTTTTACATTTTACAAGTAGGAAAAATAAAAGTTTCTTTAAAAGAACTCATCCGATGAAAATACTGCATGTCTGTTTTGTCCTCTCAAAGTCATAATAGCACTATAAATTTGTCTATTACAGACAGGAGTCATGGAAAAAAAGACAAATAGATCGATATTTTCACAATGTATCAGCTTGCATCTTGAAGGAACAGAGCACAGTAAGAGATCGAAAGAAGACAAAAAAATAGGCACAATAAAAATGAAAGACAGTTGTTATGGATATCACTCATAAATTGTGTAAACCCCTCCTCATAATAGAAGCCCCCGGGGGGCTTCTAAACTGTCCACCATCCAAAATTTTCGGTGGGGGCTTCTATTAAGTCCTAAAATTTTTCAATAGTTTTAGATGGAAAATTCTGTGTATTTATGGAAAATAACTTTGAAAATAACAATAATGATTTTACAGAAGCCTATAACATTGTTGTTTAAATTTGATAGAAAGAAACAGAAATTTTTTTTTTTCAAATTTTTTGTTTTATTTTATTTCATATTGACCTTTCGAAGTATAAATCTT